TGGAACCCATGTCCACTGCCTAGCAAGTGCCGTTCAGTTGAGGGTGAGTCCCTCTATTGGGGTATGCCAGGTATAGTTCTGCTGCCCTCGGTTCACACAACAAGGATAACAACCCTTTATTACTCCTGCCCCGATAACAAGGAGACTGGGGATCCAACATCAGCCACAAATGATCATTTGGGCAAGCAATCCCATCAAGCTGAGCACCTAGGCTGTGTGGGTGTGTCCAGGCAAATGAGATCAGCTCCTGAAGTCCTTGCCTACAGCTCACCATTAGATGTCAGGGGAGAACTCATTCAGACTGCTTACATCAGTAATACCAGTCAGACTGACATAATTCTGTTTAGTTTCACTTCTGCCTATTGTGCTCTGAAAAGCAGTGAAATTTATCTTTGTTTTGCCTTGTCCACTCTGCTACTGCTTGATAAGGCTATAAGCAGCAGCAGAGAAACTGTTGTTGTCAGTCAGCAGATTCAGGAACACTTCCCTATATCAATTTAAATTCAGTTCATGTATGGAATAGTAACTGTGTAAACATGATGGCTGGAAATTTGCTTTTTATAAGGAAGGTTAAAGTGTGCAAAATATAATGAACTTTAGACCTCTTCTCTTTCCAGGGAAAGAGTCCTTCTCAGGTGGGCCAAGTGGATTTTTTTTCCAAGCCCTGTAAAAGATTGCTATATTAATTATATAGATGCTCAGTGAACCTATGAATAAATATTTGCCTTTCCTGAATATCATTTAAAAATTTATATAGACAGTATTTCTCTATCATTACTTTTGGTGTATATTTGTTTCTATTCTGTGTAGATTCCCTTTAAACAAAGAGGAAAAACATAATATATTTTTCTTATGAGTTTTCCATGTATATTGGTTCACTACTGTGTGAATTTTCTAATTGAAATTCCGTACTTTCTATGAACTAAAGGAAGCATATTGTCTTCTTGTGACATCATATTTATTGGCTGGAGAAACTGTTATGTGACTATAGTTTCTAGCAGGTAATGGAGCATGTCAGCAATGTTTCTTTGACTTAGTCTAATTCTGTTTTTAAAAACCCCTTTCTCTACATGGCAATAATTTTGAAATTATTAAAGCTGTCAGTGACTTCACATTTTTAGTAAACTATGGACTTGTCTGTATGGTCAGTGAGTGTGTGGCAAGCTAAAGTGTAAATCTGTAGCACGCAAGCCTGCTGCACTCTAACTGGCCATGGTGTAGGGGAAGAATTTTTATATTTCTGTTCTAGTTGTTAATGCCCACACGCCATCTTGAATTCCTAACAACAAGGAACTCCATACTGGTTTAGTGGTGTGTCTGGGTAGAATTCCTAATAGGGTTTGATCATTAGTCTAATGACTATAATATTTTGCATCACAGTGTAAAAGCAAGAAAAGAGGTGGAATCTGTGGGTTGGAAGATCACCATAAGGAGCTTTGACAGATTTGAAGGACAAGATGGGAAAATGTACATTGGGGTAGGTAGCCTATGGCACGTGTGCCAAAGGTGGCACGTGAGCTGATTTTCAATGGCACTCACACTGCCTGGGTCCTGCATTTTAATTTAATTTTAAATGAAGATTCTTAAACATTTTAAAAACCTTATTTACTTTACAAACAGCAATAGTTTAGTTATATATTATAGACTTATAGAAAGAGACCTTCTAAAAATGTTAAAATGTATTACTCGCACGCGAAACCTTAAATTAGAGTGAACAAATGAAGACTCGGCATACCACTTCTGAAAGGTTGCCAACCCTGATGTACATCATCAAATGTAATTATGGTGGGGTGGGAGGCTGTTGCAAGCACAGGGGTCTGTGTTAACAAACACCTTCTATAGTAGCTCTGTTCACTCACGATTTATTTTCCTTTCTTTGGTAAAAAAAATCCAGAATCAGAATTACTGAATTATATAAAAATAGAGTATCAGATTCTGGATCATTTTCAAATTTATCTTTTACTAAAACTGGGGCATCCAAATTACTTTTTTTGGAAACACCTCTGTGGATTTTAGACTATTTGAAAAATAAGATGATGCAATTTTTCATCTGGCTGAAAATGATACTTTTCATAACTAACAAGGAATTATATGTAAATTAAAATCCCTTCATTAATTTTCCCTTTATGTTTCAAGTCACTTGAATCTGCTCTTTTTTAGTCTTTTTGCTGTTCATGTTGGGTGATGTTTAGTAAGGTAAAGAAAAAAATGTTGCTCAGATTGGGACTCAATATGCTAAGATTATTATTAGCCATAAGGAGTTCTGTTTTTGTCACTACTTCAGTGGCCTCAAGTAGTAGTTTGGAATCAAGACTGCTGGATCATATATGCCTGCAACTACGTTGAGACTGTATGCCAAACCTGATTCTCAAAGAGGCCCGGAAAGCTGAGCCAGTCCAGTTTTTAGTAGAAGAAGTTGAGATCATTGAGACTATATGATTGGACTAGTGAAAAGAAAGAAACCTTTATAGAAGTAAAAATTCATCATAACTGAAATGGACTACTGTTTCTTGGACCTATACCCTACTAGACTGTCTAGAATTTGGAGATAATGGTATTGTTTTTAGTCCCTGGAGGAGTCCAAGGTAATTTTAGAAGAGAAGAAGAAAGTTGGACTTGCAAGCCCACAGTGTGTGCCCACTTTTCATTTACATGCTGACTGACAATGTTTCATCTCGGTTGGATTCATCGGTGAGTGACCTATATGTATGTTGGTAACTGAGTGAGCTTTAAAGTTATATATACTATAAATATAAAGCTTTATGCTGTATTTTAAGCTATATACTTTGGAACCTGTATGGTAAATTTTGTAACAAGATTTATTTAAGATGTTCCAAAATTGTCTTAAGTTTATGGCTTAATAATGACTTAAATTTATATATTGCTTTCATCTGGCACTAAATAACAATGACTGAAGAATGATGCAGCATAATTTCATATGAATAGCAAAGGAGAAAGAAACATGAAAAACCTCTCTTCTTCTTAAGTTCGCTGAATCAAGGACGGATGGAGAACTGAGTCCTTTGCAGACAAATCAACACAATTCTTAAATTTGTGTTTGATTCCAAAATACTTGGGCAATGGCTGCATTGTAAAAGACTATATGTGGCAGAAAGTGAAATGTAATTCAACTGAAACCACAGGGGAGTATTCAAGGTAGATAGAAAATGTGCTCTTTACAGAGCAGAAGTTGTCAGATTCTAGATTCCCGATTTGACATTTCTTAGTCTAATTCGTATTCTATTACTTTGATATTTTTGAATTGATGGCCAACTTTCATAGGAGAATATGGAGCCAAAATCATTGTCAGTTTTACATGCATCCTTTCTTGTACTCCAGATAGTACTCTTCTTGATTGTTATTGGACAGTATAGCCTTAGTCAAACCTTATTTGTATGCCTTTCAAAGTGGTACTGTTGGTATGAATATTCTGAGCTTTCTTTGCTGTTAACTGTAATAATGGCCTCACAACACATTAAGCAGTGGGGGCCATTGTCTGCCTTGTTGCCATAAGGTGTGTGCCCTTTTATGCACTAGAGAGCCGGAATGGCTTTCTGTTGCAGCTGCAGAACAGGTCAGTGTGGGGACGCTGACCCATCCCTTGCCAGATGACCGGAAAGTGGAGGATACTATATAGGTTCATGTTGATGCAGGAAAGGCCTCTTTTTCTTGGACCAGGCGGAGCAGCACCCACCCTCCCACCCATGGATGTGGTGAAATATTAGGTTTTGTCAGGATCCACTGTGGGCATTGTGCTAGTTGCACCTTTCTTGGAGGGCTGGGAAGGACTTTTCCCCTCAATGTCAGATTAGCCAAGGTGAAGTGGGTTTTATTTGCCTTCCCAACAGCAGGTTTGGGGGGTTTAGTTGGGGCAAACATGAGATAGGAGTTAGGCTATGATGTCACAACTCGTTATGTAAATGTAGGGCGGATGTCCAGTGCAGGTATTCTGTGTGGAAGGGATAGAGTGATCACATAAAATGGATTGGTAAAAGATTTAAAGGAACTATTCTTTAAAGAAGCAGAAATGGGGACATTTGGAGCTCCTATGGCTGGTATGGCAGGGAGCCAGCTCCCCCCCTTAATCCTCATTTGAGGTGGGGGGATGGTGATGTCCCAGCAGTGGGTAAGGAGGACCAGGTTGGGTAAGGCGAGGGACTGATGGAAGCACCCCAGGTATATATTGAAATGATTATGGAATTACCTACACTGTACACTTTTATCGGCCAGGTACTCCCAGACACAGGAATAAAATTGTGGCCTAATTAAACCATATCCAGTGTCTTTTTTCCAGCATAGCCGGTCAATTCCCTTTGAAACTCTCTGGTCCCTTTAAAGCATGTATTCCGGATACTATCTAAGGATAACTTGCTACCATTTTTTCTGTTTTGTTTCGTCTAGATTCTTTGTGAGTGTCCATTTGCTGTATTGTTGAAATTTTCTGAACTACTGTATTAATTTCAAATGTTATTAAACACTCTTGTGATTTTGTTTAAAAAATCAGTCAAAATTAATTTTTAACTGATGGACCATGTGAAAACTCAAGTGTCAGTCAGAGACGTGGCCTATAACAACCATGGCTCCTTCATTTAAGTGGATTAAGTGGATGATGTTTAAAAAAAATAAACTGATGTTTGTCTGAGGAGGCAGCAAGCTCAGCTCCTAGAGGAGAAAGAATGTGAAGCTTTACCCAGTGGCAATTACTTTAGCTAATCAGTGAATGCGATTTAAGAGCTGAAAAAGTATTTTTTCTCTTACTTAGCTGGAAGAATGGTGTTTATTGCAGATTATCTTGAAAATTAAGGGAATTTTGGAGGAAGTACAACTGGTGGGGGATGTTCACAATGACCTCTGTTGTGAATGTGGTGGACTCTCTCTTTCCTCAGACTGGAAAAAAGCCACGGGCTAAGATTTAAAACAAAACAGGAACTTAAGTGTAGGTTTTAAACAGAGTTGGGAAAATGTTTTTGACCAAAACTGTTTTTTGGTAAAAAATGCAGATTCGATGACACCAACCCCACATACCAAGAAATCTGTTATCTACAGTCAGACACTCAGATACCCCAAAATGTGCTCCAAAGAGAGAGTCTGGGATACCTAAAAACACTTAAAATTGCCTTCACTAAACAAAGATACCCCACCAGAGAAGAAGATTGCATCATTGAATGGGCCATGCAAATACCCCAGGAGAATCTGCTTCAATATAGGAGGTGGAAACCACCGTAACTGCACGATCCTAGTTATCACCTGCCACCCTACACCAGAACCCATCATCAAAAAATTACAACCCAGACTTGATAGGGGACCATATGCTGAAAGAAATCTCTTCTGGGCTTCAATTAACCCCCCAACCTCTCCAAGTTCATCATCAGAAAGAACCTCCTCATAGACCAGGAGACCTGAACTCAAAGTTGCACCCAGACCCTGCTAGAACAACAGATTCAAAACCTACAGACATATGTGCACTGCTATGATGATCAATACCCCTCAAAAAAAAACCTTTCAAGATCCATGGGTTATACATATACCTATCTCAACATGTGCTGTACCTCATCCAGTGCATCATATGCCCCAAAAACTATGTGGGTGAAACCAGACCATCACTATGCTCTTGAATGAACTCTTACAGAATAATAATTAAAGAGAAAAACATACTATCACACATGGGCAAACCCTTTTCACAAAGTGATCATTCTATATGTGAACAATATGTGTAGATGTAAAGTGGGCTTTGTCATCTTCATAAGAAAAATTTTTAAGTAACTCCCTACACAAAATTATAGAAATGTTGTTGTTGAAGTGAATTGTATACTTACTCTAAAATCTTCATTCAGAAAAGTCTCTAGGGAAAAGATGAAGTTGGAAATGTTTTGAAGCTTTTGCTTATTTCTTAAATGTTGAAATGGCAAAACACTCTTGTGAAATTCATTCTTACAAATATGTTAGCTAATGCAAAGCTTCAAATATAATTTCCTAATACCATTGCTATGTAAATGGTAAAATACATCAGGTATCTACTTGGAATATAATAACCTTGCTAAACTAATAGCCATTAAAGTATAGAAAATTTGTCAATAGAAAATTAATTACTGGCGTTGCTCAAGCAACTCCTTCACCCAACTCAGGAAGACAAGAAGAATCATCTTTCCAAAAATTATCATGTAGAATCAACAACTTATTTAATAACTATTTAATCTAAAGACTCTCTTTAAGAATTATTTAATTTTAAAATATAGTTTTAAAAACTAAAACACGTCTATACAAAGAACTGTAGTATTTTGGCTTTTCTCAAAACAATTTCATTCTTGTCAAACTAATAAAATTGAAGGAATATCTCAGAGAATGGGCTGAATGAAAAGGAAGATAAAACAAACTTTAAAAGTGATTTTAATACTTTTCTGCCACAAAATGAATAAAGGCAAGTAGAAGAGGGTTTCATACTCATTAGGCAGACTGAATATGTTACCTAAGCAAACCACTAAAGTGTGAGGTCAATGAAAAAGTGACAGCATCCAACCTGAATCTAAACAAGCCTGAAAGAGATGTGTTTTCCTATACTTTCCTGGAAACAGGAAAGAGAAGAAGTATTAAAAAAAAAATTTGAAGTGAGCACCCCCATACAGACCCCCAACCCTTTGCTATCCTGCTTAAACAGTACTCATCAACTTATCCTGCCTACCAGTACAAGCAAGCTGCCACCACTAGGATGACCAGATGTCCCAATTTTACAGGGACAGTCCTGGCTTTTGGGACTTTTTCTTATATAGGCTCCTATTACCCCCCACTCCCTGTCCTGATTTTTCACATTTGCTGTCTGGTCACCCTAGCCACAACAGATAACAAAAACAGAGAAGACTCAAGAAGAAACCAGCCCAAGGAAAACCTCCCCAAGCCTTAAACATGGATTTGTAAAAGAAAGTTACCTAAAATGCTGCCAAGGTATTAGATTTAAAACTTTTGCCATGACTTTATTGGGATATGGAAATGTTGTTATAACTCAAAATATTAACAGTTTCTCCTATTAATCACCAAATGGTTCAACCATGTATTCCCGGAGATAAGACAAAGGCTAAATATTGGTAAACCGAGAGATAAGGGGATTTAATTAAAATTCATAATTGGCCTGTCTCAAAGACAACTCCTTATATGGTTTCGTCTAAGTAACTGATTTCTTTTATTTTATTTCATAGAATTTAGTTAAGATTGCTTACTTTACCTGATTATAAATTGTCTCATTATTAATAAGAATAATAAAACAAGTTTCACCTGCCTTTAACAAATTATTTTGCCCCACCTCTTCTCTGAGGCCCTGCCCACCACTCCCTCCAGCCCCCCTCCCTCCATTGCTCGCTGTCCCCCACCCTCACTCACTTTCACTGGGCTAGGGCAGGGGATTGGGGTGGGGGTGAGGGGTCCATCTGGGGGTGCGGGCTTTAGGGTGTGGCTAGAATTGAGGGGTTCAGAGTGCAGGAGGGGGTCCAGGCTGGTGCAGGGGGTTAGGTGCGGGAGGGGGTGTGGGCTCTGGCTGGGCGTGTGGGCTCTGGGATGGGGCCGGGGATGAGGGGTTTGGGTGCAAGAGGGAGCTCTGGGCTGAGGCAGGGGGTTGGGGTATGGGAGGGTGTTAGGGGTGTGGGTTCCAGGAGGGAGTTTGGGTGTGGGAGGGAGCTCATGGCTGCGGAAGGGGGTGCAGGGTTCGGACTCTGGGAGGGAGTTTGGCTGTGGGAGGGGGCTCAGGGCTGGGGAATTGGGGTGCAGGTGAGGGGTTCAGACCTGGGGTTGGGGTGTGGGAGAGGGTTTGAGATGCGGGCTCTGGGAGTGGGTTTGAAGTGCTGGAGGGAGTTCCGACCTGAGGCTGAGGGTCCAGAGTGCGAGCTCTGGCCGGGTGGCGCTTATCTCAGGGGCTCCCGGTCAATGGCACAGTGAGGCTAAGGCAGACTCCTTGCCTGCCCTGGCTCCGCGCTGATCCCGGAAGAAGCCAGCATGTCCGGTCCCTAGGTGGAGGCACGGCCAGTTGCTCTGCATGGTGTGCGCTGCCTCTGCCTGCAGGCACTGCCCCCGCAGCTCCCATTGGCCGCGGTTCCTGGCCAATGGGAGCTGCGGAGCTGGCACTCGGGGTGGAGGCAGGAAAATGGCAGCTACTTCTGGGAGCTGCATGCAGCCAGGGCAGGCAGAGAGCCTGCCTTAGCCTCGCTGCGCCGGCAACTGGAGTTTTAATGGCCCGGTCCTCAGTGCTGACCGGAGCTGCCGGGGTACCTTTTCGACCGGGCGTGCCAGTTGAAAACCAGACGCCTGGCAACCCTAATCTGAAATAGAGGAAAGGCAGATATGGTTGCAATACTCAGCTAGTCAGAGCAGTAGACTAAAAACAATCCTTGAAGCTAACTGTATAAGAGGTTTGCTTTTCAGAAGAGAGGGTGTGCAGGAGGGCCATCTTAGAGAACTGCACCTCTGTGAAGGGAACTTCAGAAATACATTGGTTTACTTCTGTTCAAACTATTTTTCTTTAAGTTATTTTAATTATTTTATAGCTGTGTAAAATAGAATATGGGTTAGTAACTCCAGACAGGTAATACATTTATTTTTATTCAACAAATATAAATCCTGGAAAGAGACGTTCCCCCAGCCCAAACCTTATCATCTATATCCAGTCAGCATTGCTGCCCACAGCCCTTTCACACACATCTGAAGGAAAAGAAGGGAAAAAATCTGGAATATAGCTTTGATCACAGGAAAGAATATGAAGATCAAGCTTCTGTCTTTTTTTTTTTTTTTAATTTGCACTGAATGTATTATGCACGCAAAATGTGAAGACTGTATTATTTATGAATAGAGATGAACTGGAATTTAGGAGGACATACTGGGTGATAAATAGGTCTTTTCTATCTCTTACTTGTATTATTCTGATTTATTTCATCCTTGACTTCAAGTAAAGAGAAAAAAATTGTAAGTTTCTGGCCTACTGTTTAAAGCATTTGGAGAGTGCCACTTATATCTCTGTTGTCAAAAACAATTATAGGAATATATACACAGTATTGCCAACCTCAAGCATTCAAAAATCATGACTCGTATCAAATCATGAGATTGGCTTAAAATTCATGATACTTAACAAATAATAAGTGGTATGTTATATTTTGTTGCCTTTTGGTATTGGAACATTTAGAGTTCATGTTTTCAAGCTTTTCTCTGTTTCCATGAGGGCTAAAAACTTTTTTTTAAATGAAAACTGAGCTTTTTAACTAATAACTTGATTTCAGCAGCTAAGACTCTAACAAAAGCACCAAATATTCTGAGGCTCATGAAAAAATTGCAAGAGTTGGCAATAGTTTATACAAAAAAATTCAAAATTTCAGCAAAATCTTGAACAATTTCTATAAAGAGTGCTGTGTCTCTGGTGTAATATGATGATTACTTGACCAAGATGACTATTGGTAGGGCATTTAAATTGTAACCTAAGGTTGAATTATAAAGTTATACTTAATGCTCTTAAGCCACTTGAGAAAATTAAACCTGCAAATGGCATGTTTTCACTGGGGGAAGATCTACTGGTCCCGTATATCTAGCTATTTATACCTGTAATGTGTTGTCATAGAGTTCTTGATATTATCCTAAGGTTCCTTATAAGAGGAAACAATGGTTAGTGTAGTATATGGTTAGTTTTAGGACCCTAAGACTTTAAAATCCTGATTCATGAAGTATACCAGGCTGTAATAATACAAAAACAAGAAATTATTATAATTTTAAAATATTTAATATATCTTGTTTTTCGAATATTGCAGCTTGTATATATGATGAAAAGTTTGAGAAGCATATTATAATCAGGATTTTAAAGTTTTTAAAAGCATTCAGCATTGGCCCAGCTATGCTTCCAGTGAAATCAACGGTAAAACTTCCTTTAACTTAAATAGGCCAATGCTGATGAATGCTTTTGAAAATCCCACCCTTCACTATGAAAACAAGTAGTGTACTTTTGGCATCATTATATGTTGAATACATTGAGTATTCCAGTGCTTGGTCCAAACGTAACACTACTATTTAATTGTTATTTATAACACCTCTGTTATTTCAGTTTTGGGGACTTTCATACAGCTTTGCTAGTGCACCTAAATCCTGATTTGGAGCACCTTTTCTAGTCCTGGCACGTTGGCCAATCCTCGGCTATATCAATACACATCAGTCCTGCCTTAAAATGTACCCAGTATAATAATGTACTTCATGAAATGGTGAGAATTCTTTTTAGTAGGAGTCTGAAAGGGTCACTCAGAGTATTAACAGGAATGTAGTCCTCTGAAAGCCATTGTGCTTTTTATTACAGCACAACCTGGAAATGCTAGCTGTCTCTTTGTTTGGACATAGTGCCTGTACCCTTTACACAGTCTATTCTGCTAAGTGCTATATCTGACATTTCAAGGAGCAGAGTTATACTCGGTGGAATGTAAGTCCAGAGGGAGGGAGCAGTGGGATAATTGAATGTTAAGCCCTTTCAAGATGGGCATTTCTATGCCTACAGGCCTACTTAAGGTGAATAAAAGAATACTTAAAGTTGCAAATTTTCTACTTGGTGACTGAAAATAAGCTGTGCAAGCACACATGAGACCCACTAAACCATAGTTGCCAAAAAGCTGTGAAATTTCCACAAGCTCTAAATGTCTCATCAGGTCAGTGAGTTCGCTGATTAGGCATATATTATGTGGAGGGTTATTTTCCCCTCTTGTTCTTGAATTTTAACTGTGCTGAGTGCAGCTCCATTTCCTGTTATCAGTTCTTCATCATTCTTATATTGCAGGCAGCCATTCAGTGTAAGATACTTATCAAGTTAGAGGAAGTGGTTTAAGTATTCTTTTGTTTGGTTTTATAAAGCGTAGGCTTTCTAAATGAATTCTGAACTTCCCATGTTGCCTACTGACAAATACTGTGCATAAGAAACTCATATTATTGTAGGTCACTGAATTCATTTTTAAAATGCCAATTGACATAATTCCTTTAGGGAATTATAAGTTGCAGTTCATATTATGGTCTAGTACAAATGTGGAAATTCATTGTTTTAGAAGGGATCTCATTTGTACTACAGAAGCAGCTTAACATGAATCAGGTGATGTCTTTCCAGCTTTTAAATACTACTAAATGGAAATAGCAGACTTACTGGAGTTTTCCACTGTCACTGCCTATCTAGCATTCATTAGAAATTTGGGATCACTTTCCTTATCTCTGGCACAGAGCTTCACTTGATCCTTGTATTTTGCATAAACAAAAATGGAAGCTGAAGTACCCATAATGGCCACAGCTGCTTAGTTCAAAATGAAAATTGGGGAACTAAATGCATGAAGAGAAATAGCAAAAGACAAGCTATCCAGAACTATTTGTGTAAAAGAGTGGCTTTTGATTGGAAAAGCTGTGGATACTATTGGTATTCATTATATCCTGCTGACATCTTGCACACATTTAGTTTCTGACAGATAGTCAAATATAGTGCTTGCTAGATGAGAGACGACAGTTAAGTAATAAAATTTGCTTTTGACTTTATTAGAGCAGTGCCCAGTAACACTGTTAAAAGTCTGTCAGCAATTCTATTATAAACCTCCATTTTCTGAAGCTTAAAAAATGGCTGTTTTTAATTGTAAAATTTTGAGGATTGATGTTTAACTTGCCAGCCTAAATGCACTTTCCCTTCTTGCCTGTACTTACCTGCTTCAGCCTATCATCCCCCATCAAAAAACCCCCAACCCCTTAGTAAATGTTGTGCTTTTAAATTAGAAGTCATGGGCATGATTCACCATGCTGTTAATCCAGTATATTGCTGGTGTAATGTTAATCTTGTGTGCATGTGGGAGAGAGAGAACTATGGCAGCTGTTCAACACTGCACAGCAATTTGGAACAGAAAGGGACAACACAAACTGTATCCAGTTGAAAACTAGAACTTGGCTAGGACTCTAGGGTCAACACATCTCATCTCGAGAAAAATGCTATGGGATCTTTAATATACAAATGATGTGGCTTTACATTGTATGCCTTATCCTAGTAGTCCTCAACCTTTCCCATACCAGGATTTCTTTTTCTGGCCAGGTACCTATGAGACTCCTCTCTTCTCTAGCCATGTCACCACTTTCATTTAGCAAAATAGGAAGGGTGGGGTGGTCGCAAGCCCCTGGTGCCTGTTTGAGAACCCTTGTTTTATCCAAAAGAAATAGTTTTCTTACACTATTTCTTTGCTTATTTAAAACTAGCCAGGCTAAAACAT